TGTGAAGCCAATAATAAATGAGTGGAGACGACAAAAATGTTGCATTTTCCAACCTCAAAAAGTTGATCTTTCTTAGACTGCATGCTCCTCAGTGTTTGGTGGAATCCTGCTTTGCTGCTCTTCCATGCATCTTGGCATGCTCTGCACCAGCCTGTGACGTTGTGACCGCCGACCTCACGGCCACGTCAGCAGATCCAGGTCTGACTAGGCCGGACGAGAAGTCACACACGCAAACACGCTGCTGTAGGAGAAACGCATCCAGCCTCTGATTTTTTCCAGGACTGGAAAACGCCAACCCAGCCACTCTTTGCCGTCAAACGGCGACCTTGACGTGCAGCCGTCGACTCCTCGTAGTTCAGCAGCTGCGTGTCTGAGCCGACCTCCGACCTGCGCGGCCTTTCGTCAGGCTGCAAAGTTCTCACAACATGCAGAGCTATTAAAATGGGACCTGCCTCTGTTTCAGGATTACACTGGCTTCCACTTCTGCGGAGGCTCTCTCATCAACGAGAACTGGGTGGTGACGGCTGCTCACTGCAATGTCAGGTAAGCGTCGCACACCTGAGGTCTGCTTTAGCAAAGAAGAGGAGATCAAACTGTTTGTGTTGCAGGACCAGCCACCGCGTGGTCCTCGGAGAGCACGACCGCTCCTCCAACGCAGAGAGCGTCCAGGTGATTTCTCCTAGCCAGGTAAGAGAGACCGTTCACGTCACATCCTCTGACCTTTGACCTGCCGCTCCTAAACATGCCACTTCCCCCCCCAGGTGTTCAGACACCCCCAGTACAACAGCTACACCATCAATAACGACATCACCCTGATCAAGCTGTCCAGCCCCGCCCAGCTCAACATGCGGGTTTCCCCCGTGTGCCTGGCCGAGTCCTCCGATAACTTCCCCGGAGGCATGATGTGCGTGACCTCTGGCTGGGGTCTGACCCGCTACAACGGTAACAGCCGCTGACGCTCACAGAGCTCTGGCTCCCTGAGGCGCTTCACCAGTTTTTAACCAACACCAGTTAAATGCAAAGGACCCCAACCCTAACCCTGCATCCAGCAGGGGAGTCATGTGACCACATGTTGCTTTATTCCACTGAATTGAATGAAATGTCTTAGATTGTTCAGATCAGAAGCTGTTTTGGTTCTTGATTACCACCAGGGAGAAAGAAGCATCATCTCATCATCTGAGCACATTAAACTGGAACAGAAGTTATTCTGCTGCACAGGAAGCTGTTCAAGAGAAAACAGGACAACCTTGAACCTTTTACCACCTTTGCTGCTCTGCCAGCAGATGGAGCCCTTGTTCCCGTATCACTTTGATGTTCTGGCAACTGTTGCAACTGTTGTGTGTTTTGCAGCCCCCGACACCCCCGCCCTGCTGCAGCAGGCCGCTCTGCCCCTCCTCACCAATGCTAACTGCAGCAATTACTGGGGCAGCAATATCACCCACCTGATGATCTGCGCCGGAGCAGCTGGAGCCTCCTCCTGCATGGTGGGACTTTAGTTTGGACCCGGTTCTGTCCATCCAGTTTGAGCTCCAGGTTTCATTGCCCTGCTGGGTTTCTTTGCTCTGATCCTCAGGGTGACTCTGGAGGTCCTCTGGTCTGTGAGAAGAACGGAGCCTGGACTCTGGTGGGCATCGTGTCCTGGGGCAGCAGCACCTGCAGCACCAACTCCCCCGGAGTCTACGCCCGCGTCACCGAGCTGCGCGCCTGGGTCGACCAGACCATCGCTGCCAACTGAGCGTGCTCAGCGGTTGGCTGATCCAGCTGATCTTCAATAAAACACAGAAACTGACAAACCCTGCAGCCATGTTTTCTTCTCCTGCAGACCCTCGTCTTCATCTTACTTCATGAGATCATGTGAAACCTATCAGTCCTTCTAAATGAAGCTAAAATCAAACACAGAAGTACAAATTGATTTGAAAGTAGTTCACAGCTGACATCATGGTCGCCTTTTCAAAACTGTGGACTCTCAGTCTGCTTGTCCTTTGTTTTCAGTCTTTAGATGTGGAAGATTTCTGCGTCCTTTAGCCAAAACACGACTTCAGTTTGGCTCATTGACTCGGCACCAATTTACCCAAAAAATCCAGTTTATACTCAGAAATGCAGAATTAATGTAACGGATTCTTACCGACAGCTCAGAGTCCGTTCATTCAACATTTCAGTTAAGTTAGATCATTTTCCTGTGTTTGAAATGGATGCTGGAGGACACCAGTCTGCATGTTAATGGTGACGCAGCAGCACTGGGTCTTTCTGAGGGTGTCGGGATCCAACCCTCATTCTTCAGCACACAAGTCTCAGACATCTTGAAATGTAAAAGATTCATCTTCTCTAAGAAGTGAAAAAACACTTGGTATCATGTCAAGATGAAGACCTGGCTCTGATGACCAGATGGTCTCTGTGTTGTCCCAGCTAACCTTTGACCAGTTACACCTGATCCTTGTTTCGCCTGATTGTCTCCGTGTGTATTTAAACCCACCTGCCTTCCTTGTTCTTTGTCGGCTCCTTGTCTCGTTGTCTTTCTGTCTCGCTGTCTCGTTGTCTCGCTGTCTGATCCATTTTGTCAAATCTGCTGTCAGATGTTTCTTGTTGCCTGGTTGCTGCCAGTTTTGAGCCTCAACCTTCTGCTCATTCTGTGCTGCCTGGATTTTGGATTTCTGACAAATTCATGAAACACATCATTCATCCTTCATTTCAACCGGAGTCTTCCTCACCACCTTTACTGTATTTCATAACAGAAATGCTTCAATTCCTGCTTTGTTAAGGCCAGATTTTCTTTTCTTTTTGGAATGCATTCAGGTTTGTATTCTATCAAGTGATGCATCTTTAATTATTTTATGTCCCTCAACATTTTGATTTACCACAGGTCTTCATCATCCTCATCTCCACTGTCAGTACTGCTACCATTAGCCAGTAAAGGATAAAAACCAAACTATTCCATTGTGAGGATGTGGATTTTCTATGTATTTTGATCTATTTGGTCCTTGTTTCCTCAAGTCATGCCCTTAATTGTTCCTTGATTAATCCGTAGTGTATTTAAATCACCTTCTGGATCCTCATATTAGTCTGTCTTTGTCAAGTCATTGTGCTTCTACCTGAGTTGCTGTCTGAGTCTCGTTGTCCACCTGAGGTTCCTGACATTGTGCACAACTTTGGACTCCATCAAACCTCATGACTACAAACCACTTCATGACACTCATGGCAACAATGAACTTTTGTCCTTACAAAGTCTTTAAGCTAAACACAGGTTCTGATTCTGGTTCTGCTCTGCATCCCCAGAACCAGAACCAAGAGAGGAGAAGCAGCTTTCAGCATCTATGCACCAAAACTTTGGAACAAACTTCCAGAAAACTGTAAAACAGCAGAAACCCTGACTTCCTTTAAATCTCAACTAAAACCCAGCTGATTAGAGTTTGATTAGAAATGTAATATGTAACAATGTGTTGTTTATTATATGACACAAAGTCATATAATAAACAATACATTGTTACATATTACATTGTATTGTAATATGTTGTATTGTAATACAATGTATTACAATACAATGTATTGTAAAGCACTTTGAAATGCCTTGCTGCTGAAATGTGCATAACTAATAAATTTGATTTGATTTGATTTGATTTGATAAAGGGATGGAGCCGGAGCTCGTGTGTGAGGTTCTGGCTAGAAATAGTCGGTCTCACCTCAACACACGTCAGAGTCTGGTCAGATTTCCGGCAGTAAGTCGGGCTCGTGTCCGGTGGAGAGTTGGACTCCACCAGAACTGCTCTGTGCCACCGATTCTCTTCATTACTTTCATGGACAGAATCTGTAGAGCAGCCGAGGTGTTGAGGAGATCCGATTTGGTGACCTTAGGATCCAGCTCTGCTTTTTGCGGATGATGTGTTTTGTTGGCTCCATCAGGACGTGATCTGCAGCTCTCGCTGGAGCGGTTGGCAGCCGAGTGTGAGCATTTGGTAGCTAACGTCAGGAAAACACAGATGCAGATTCACTTAATGTTCTGGTTCTGGTCTGCATCAGAACCAGAACCAAACAGAGAAGCAGCATTCAGCCTCTATGCACCAGATATCTGGAACAAACTTCTAGAAAACTGAAAAACAGCTGAAACCCTGACTTCCTTTATGTGTTTTGGAACGTCAATATAAAATTCATTCATTCATTCATTATTGCCAACATTTGGTGATAATTTCACGCCAACAGAAATCTTTAATTACAACAAACAAAAACATTTTCTCTGTGCTACAGAATTTTCTGTAATTCTTTGTATAAATTTAAATTTGAGTTTTTCCTGTTTTGTGTTTAGTGAGTTTGGACTCAAAATGTCGACATGAAGCAGAAAATCAGTGATGAAAATGTGAGAGATGATTAACCATGAAGTCTTTATTACAAACTGAAGCAAACTGCATATGTGTTCAGGTGTGTCTCTGGTTCAGGTGTGTCTCTGGTTCAGGTGTCTCTGGTTCAAATGTGTCTCTGGTTCAAATGTGTCTCTGGTTCAGGTGTGTCTCTGGTTCAGGTGTGTCTCTGGTTCAGGTGTGTCTCTGGTTCAGGTGTGTCTCTGGTTCAGGTGTGTCTCTGTTCAAATGTGTCTCTGGTTCAAATGTGTCTCTGGTTCAGGTGTGTCTCTGGTTCAGGTGTGTCTCTGGTTCAAATGTCTCTGGTTCAAATGTGTCTCTTTCAAATGTGGTTCAGGTGTGTCTCTGGTGGTCTCTGTTCAGTCTGGGTTCAGGTCTGGTTCAGGTGTCTCTGGTTCAAATGTGTCTCTGGTTCAGGTGTGTCTCTGGTTCAGGTGTGTCTCTGGTTCAGGTGTGTCTCTGGTTCAGGTGTGTCTCTGGTTCAGGTGTGTCTCTGGTTCAGTGTCTCTGGTTCAGGTGTGTCTCTGGTTCAGGTGTGTCTCTGGTTCAGGTGTGTCTCTGGTTCAGGTGTGTCTCTGGTTCAGGTGTGTCTCTGTTCAGGTGTGTCTCTGGTTCAGGTGTGTCTTGTCTCTGGTTCAGGTGTGTCCTGGTTCAGCGGTCAGGTGCGTGTGTGTCCACCGGGCGGCAGTAGCAGATGGCGTTGTAGAAGCGGCAGTAGCAGGTGTCACAGGGGTCGCAGCAGGGCAGCGAGTAACCCAGACAGAACTGCTGGTGAGGGATGCAGCGGCGAGGGAACGCACGGCTCTGCCTTGCAGCTGCAGCACAGGCAAGTCCTGCAGGACAAGGGAAAAGCCCATAGTTGGGTCAATTCAGTGCAAAATTTCAAATAGCTGCAGACCTGCTGCAGAGGACAGTCCTGCACCTCATTGTTGGAGCCCGCCTCCATCAGCAGCGTCTTCCTCTGAGTCCACAGGAAAGAGACCGCCATCCTGAAGAGGGCTGGGGGCGTGGCCTCTATCTGCAGACACAGAAAGGAAAAATGCTCAGTACCTGAAACACTCCAGGTGGTTAGATGTTTTCCACTCCAATCTGCTCTGCAAAACTCCAGGTTGAAAGTGGAACCATGAACACCAGTAATTCTGTAGGGGCGGATCAGAGCTCTCTGATTGGACGTCTGTCACTGACCGATGTCAGCCAGGTAGGCGGCGTCGGGGCGGACGTTGGGCGCGGGCCGTCGTCCAGCCGGACTCCTCCTTGGACCAGGGAGGCGGCCGGCCGCAGCAGACCGGAGGAGGCGCAGCAGAGCAGCAGCATGCCCATCCTGCTGCCGTCACCAAACAAGAAGAAGAATAACTGCACTACAACTCCCACAATCCTCTGCTGCTCCAACAAGAGCTTCTGAAAGGAGGAAACAGGAAACAGAAGCTGTTTTATCTCCCAGTTAGAAAACTTGAAGAATTTGAGCCCCATTGAACAATCTAACAACAAAGTAGCCTTAAATTCAAGCAAATAATAGTAATTATAATAATTAATTTATGTTTATAGGAACAACAAAATTCAAACAATTACATAAAGAGCAACTTGTGTTGAGTTTTCTAGCTGTTGCTGATTTTAAGCTCTTGTCCCAAGTTGGATTTTAACTTTAGCCAAAACTACAGAGCACTATTTAATAAAATAAATGACCAGCATATTTAAAGATACCAACATGAATAAACAGCACAGCGAGATCATACATATAAATATAACTCTGAGCTGCAGCTCTGCTTGTCCTTCAGAAGTTAAACACAAACATTTCAGACATGAAAACACGCCGAATATCATTTTTCTCCTTTTTCATTCACTCAGTCACTCTGGATGAATCTGGAAAAAGTTCTGGAGCCAAACTGTGGAACCTTGAAATCATTTTCTGGGGATAACAAAGATGAAAAATGAAATCTTCAGATTTGCATCAATAATCTTTTATCAGCACCTTTTCAGTCCAGATCAGACGATAGTTACAGGTAAAAAATATAGTTTTTATTTGTGACATTATGGAAAGAAGGACTTAAAACTTACTACATTTATTGCCTAGTTTAATAATAAATAAAAATCCAATATTTCTCATATTATAGTAGAAATTAGTTAATTTGTTGTATTGTTTATTTTTCATTCATATTTTTTGTTGATATATATAAAACAATATTTCCCTTTTTATAATTGCTATTAACTTTCTTCACAGGGTAAAAAGTTTTAATGATATAATTTTTTTCTTTATTATTTCAATCACACTTCAGATCCATCAGTTTATTCTGTTTTACTTTTCTCTGTTCTTTGCAGATACATTTTACTTTATTCTGATTTATGTTTCCACATTATTATTATTATTACCATTATTATTGGAGGATTAACATTATCACTGTGGAGAATCAATCAATTCTTCATCTTAAATATCATCCAGAACAGTAATTTGGACAAAAATATAATAGACACGACCTTTTTCTGCAGTTTTTCACCTCATCATCATCATCATCATCATCATCATCATCAAACAGAAAGGGGAAATGAACTCACCTTCTGGCTGAAGCGTCCACTGCGTTTCTGTCTCTGGAGGAGCTGAAGGACATTTAAAGCCAATCACCAGGAAGAGGTCACATGACCAGCTGGGGGCGTGGCCCTGGAAATTGTCACAAAATGTTCATCATTACTGACACAAGTTAAGACGAGTTCTTCAGCCTTGTAAAAAGCCGTCAGTTATTCTTCCCAGGTGGCTAAATGAGAGGAATTTTACTGAACCAGTTGATCAGAGGAACGGGTCCAGATTCAGTTCTGTCTGGCTTCTGGCTTGAAGAGTCAGAACCAGGTGGGCAGAGGTGAGAGGAGAGCTGCTTCACGTTTGACGGGAACTAAAACAAACCAATCAGAAGATTATAACAAGAAAGCCACAAGAAATTCAGAGCGTAATGTTAACATGAGCAGCAACCCAACATCTACCCAAACCCCGAAACCCCGAAACACTAAAACCCTGAAACCCCGAAACACTGAAACCCCGAAACCCCGAAATCCTGAAACCCCGAAACACTAAAACCCTGAAACCCTGAAATCCTGAAACACCGAAACCCTGAAACCCCGAAATCCTGAAACACCGAAACCCTGAAACACTGAAACACTGAAACACTGAAACCCCGAAACACTGAAACCCCGAAATCCTGAAACGCTGAAACTGAAACACTGAAACCCCGAAATCCTGAAACACCGAAACCCTGAAACCCCGAAACACTAAAACCCTGAAACCCTGAAATCCTGAAACACCGAAACCCTGAAACCCGAAATCCTGAAACACCGAAACCCTGAAACACTGAAACACTGAAACCCCGAAACACTGAAACCCGAAATCCTGAAACCCTGAAACACTGAAACCCCGAAATCCTGAAACCCTGAAACATTGAAACACTGAAACCCTGAAACACCGAAATCCTGAAACACCGAAACACTTAAACCCCGAAACACTGAAACCCTGAAACCCTGAAACACTGAAACCCCGAAACACTGAAACCCCGAAACCCTGAAACACTGAAACCCCGAAATCCTGAAACACCAAAACCCTGAAACACTGACACCCCCGAAACACTGAACCCCCGAAATCCTGAAACCCTGAAACCCGAAATCCTGAAACACCGAAACCCTGAAACCCTGAAACACTGAAACCCTGAAACACTGAAACCCCGAAACACTGAAACCCCGAAACACTGAAACCCTGAAACCCCGAAATCCTGAAACCCCGAAACCCTGAACACTGAAACCCCGAAACACTTAAACCCTGAAACACTGAAACCCTGAAACCCTGAAACCCCGAAACACTGAAACCCCGAAACCCTGAAACCCCAAAACACTGAAACCCCGAAACCCTGAAACCCCGAAACACTGAAACCCCGAAACTGAAACCCCGAAACACTGAAACCCCGAAACCTGAAACACTAAAACCCTGAAACCCCGAAATCCTGAAACCCCGAAACACTTAAACCCTGAACATGAAAAACCTGAAAACTGAAACCTGAAACCTGAAACCCCGAAACCTGAAACCCCAACACTGAAACACTGAAGGCCTGAAATGCCAATCCAAACCGTGATGGTCTTCCTTCAGTAAATCGTGGTTAGCTGTCATTGTTCGCTTTCATGGCAGCGGTGCTCAATAAGTCCATGGTGATGACCAATCGATCACGGAGGTTTTGAGTCGATCTCGGCAGCAGGCAGCAAACTGAATGACACCAAGAGGCTGAAACCACTTATCACAAATATTCAATAAGATCCAAAATGTTTGTAATGTTATTAAAGAATAAAAAAATCAATAAAACGTGTTCAAGTTAATGAGCCAACAAAAAATAAAAATCTAATTTTTGCTTCAATAAGGTTTTGTGCAATTCGGTTCCATTGAAAAACCGCGACTGAGTCGCAGAGCAAAAGATGGAGGAAAAATATCCTATCAGAAGTTCTGTTTTTAACTTAGCAGTGCTCTTTCAGTATGAAATTATTCATATCGAGATCATCAAACCTAAGTTCAGATCTACCATAACCAATTAACACCTGCTGGCCTCAGATTTCCAACCAGTTCCTGTCTACAAACCAGTAACCTGCTCCCAGTGTCAGAATCTCACTCAGGAAGAAACCGCATCAGATTTTCTATCTCTATAATATTTCTCCTATAACTGATGGAGATTTGCAAATAAAATAAGTCAACAGAGTTTAATTTACAATTTTGATATCTTTGTGTCATGAGGCAGATCTCAGCCGGCTGGTGAGTGAAAACGTAGATCTTGGTCTCAAAAACTGCCCTGCTTTATAGTGAGCTTTCATTGTTAGCTTTTGAATTGAATAATGAGGTGTCTCCATGAATTTATTAACATTCTGCTGTCCATGCTACAATCACTTAACGAAACAAAAAAGATTTCCAGGGACGAAGACAATGAAGATAAGGTATGAACGCTGAATGAGAAGCTTTATGAAAACGTTACAGCAGCAACATTCCAGTTCTCATGAACCAGCTGGTGTCAGATTTCAGGGTACTCTGGCTTTCAGCTGTTTTGCAGTTTTCAGAAAGTTTGCTTTAGACTTGTGGTGCATGGAAGTTGAGAAGATCTGAAAAACTCAAAGGAAACAGAATGAAAACGGTTTGACAAACAAATTCAACGGCACAACAAAAAATAGTTGATGGGACTCAAACTGACCTGCAAGTAAAACCAAACTGTCAGTTTTCAATTCAAAATTTGGTTGGGACTCTCCAGAACCAGCCAGACGGTCCAGGTTCTTGTTTGTCATCATGTTTCAAAACATGTGGGGATGTGAATGTGCTGCATTGTGAGGAGTCACATGCGGTTGGACTGAGGGTTCATTAGAGCCAGTAATCCTCTCTCTGTTGCTGTGATTGGAGAACATTAGCTCGGCTGCTTCCTCCATTACTGCCAATCTGCTGCTTCCTGCAGCTCATTAGTTGCCATCTGCAAACATGGCGTCGATTCTCTGAAGAGTGACATGCTGATGACATCACAGCTGCACTCAGCACAGACAAGGCGAGGCGCTGGAGCTGCAGGCGGCGCAACTTTAATCAGACCGCTGATTATGGAAACCAGCTTAATGCACATGTTTACTTCATTCACTTCCTGTTAGAAGTGGCTGGACTGTCTCCATAGTAACAGGAAAAGGTCAACTGGCCAAAAGTCAAAAACCTAATAAAAATTAAATAATGATAAAGTCTGAACCAGCTGAACGAGAAACCTTTTCTGTCCAGAAGCAAGATGGCCGCCACACCACAGTTAGCACAGACGGTGTCTTCTGGAGAGACGAGACCAGACAGTTGGACCAAGATGGAGGAAACCAGAAACAGCACAGTGGTGGCGGTATTGTGTTCTGGGCTGGTTTTGCAGGCGTCCCTGAGTGGAGCAGGATCTGCTCTGGGAACCAAAGTACCTTTAGTTACCGAGGACTTTCACGGTTCCCCGCAGCTCCCGAGGCCCCCAGGCATGATGCTGCCACTGCCAGGCTCTGCAGCGAGTTTCATGTTTTACAGGATCTTCAGAGTTTCACACATTTTCACTTTCAGCCAAAAGATTCAAACTTGAACCACAAACGTTTCCGCCTTCTTCTCCTGTCATTTTCCATCATTCTTTTAAATTTATTGTTGTTGTTTTTCTAATCCAGTCAGGGTCAAATCTATACATACCTAGACTAACTTTAGCAGGTCCTCCTGAAATGTACGGAAGCCCAGAGGTGACACCCACATTAAATAAAACGATGCCTTTTTATGGCCTTTAAAAACCAGTGTTTATGAAAACTTCAGAATGTTTTTGTTTGTTGATCATGTTCCTACATAAGAATATTATATTGTGTCGACATTAAAGTTTTTGTGAGAGCATGATAAATATGTCAATTGTATTAACATGATATTGTTTCCAATGTGACAGCAGAGTATTTTTGGCAGCTCCAGGCTTCCGTAGAACAGTGATCATCATGCAGAGCAGATTGAAATCAATTGTTTCTATTTGTAAGTTCTTAACATGTGACAAACATGATCCTCCTGGTGACTCAGCGTCACCTGACCGAGCAGCCAACACCTGCAGGCAGCGCCTGTAGATCCCAGATCGAGTCGATCCAGATCGAGTCGATCCTCGCAGCCCGGAAGTCAGGCGCAGGATCCCTCGGCGGGTCTCAGCAGCTTCCAGCCATGGTGTTCGAGTCTCTGGTCAGCGACCTGCTCAACAGGTTCATCGGGGATTATGTGGAGAACCTGGACAGTCCCAGCTGAAGATCGGGATCTGGGAGGCGAGTCCTGCTAGCTCGCAGCTAACAGACAAATATGAATATTAGTCTTTACTGCATGCATTCGCCGTGGTATTAATAACCCAGGCAGGTGGTTGTTTGCTGTTTTTTGGTCCAGACTTTAATTCGGCTTTCATTTCAAACACAGATTCCTCGTATTTCTGCTGGAATCTGAACTTTATTGAGCAAATCCCGGAAATGACAGCGACTCTACCGCCATACTTAAACGGATTACTGATCATGTTTACTGACAGCAACTCAAATGTACCCCGAATTAAAGTCTGACCAACAAAGACCAACCTGGACCCGAACAGAACCGGATCTTCAGGTGTAACTTCCGTCGAGAACTGGGTTTCATTAAATCCGCGGTTATTGGAAAGAGGTCTGGACTGAAAACCTGCGTTTCACTGGGCTCCATGGCACACACACAAGCACACACACTTATTGTGTTAATTTGTTCAGTGTGTTTAATACTGATAAAAATAATTGATGATTACCCCTCAGTGTGTGTGTGTGTGTGTGTGTGTGTGTGTGTGTGTGTGTGTGTGTGTGTGTTTGCTGTTTGGTTCAGTTTTGTTGAAAAGATGTTGGTAAAATGTTTAGGGGTTTAAGTTGGCCCTAAAAAAAACTTTACCAAATAAAAATAAGTTATAAAAGCCTCACCTGCCAGTCTGCCTGCATTCCATCTCCTGATGAATCACCTGAGAGGCTCCACCAATCAGCATTCAGCTGTCAGTACTGATGGAAAATGCCCTGAAGATCAGGTCCTCCGGTCCTGATCAGGTTCATCAATACCTGCATTCCTGA